CCTATGGATGCAGCCTATAATTTTATTTGATTCCTTTCTTATGCATGATTCCTTGAGAAGAAAAGGCTGAGAGGTTACTGATTCTGGGGATCCCTGTCTTGGGGGCCCAGACTTAAAGAGGGCAGTCCCCCAAACCCAGGTTCTGCCCTGGGACCAAACCCAGCAAGTCTGCTTCCAGTGATCCTGGTCCAACTGAGCACAGTGGATACTGCTGATGGACCCTGGAACAGGAGAACAGGAGTTTTTTGGCCTGCCCAATACTCGGCAAGAAGAAGTTGAGCCCTCTTTTGCCTCCAATGATCTGTCAAAATTGGGCTCCCAAAATTCTTATGTAGTTGAATCTCCTCAGGAATTATCTGTCAGAAGTGTACTAAAGGAACAGCAACTAAGAAATCAGAGACATATAGAATATCAGTATGCAAATGGTTCTTGTAGTACCTTTGAAACTAATTGAGCAAAAGACATTTTAGTATAGCCTTTCAGTAGACTTGCATGCATTGGAGGAAGTAGATCATGTCTATGGAAAGCTTATGCTACAGCATCTTTCGCTCAGTTAGTCTCAGGGTGTTACAAGATTCCTTTGCATAATGAAGAACTGAGAATTATTAAGGCAGTTATTTTTGTTGAGCCTTCCCAGGAAAAATCCAGACTGCCTGAAATCAATATTATACACATGTATTTGAGAGTAAGCTACACTGAGAGTCAGCATGGTGTAGAGGTTTGAGTGTTGGACTAGGAGCAAGCCTAGTCCTCCCAGCTAGGCAAAGGCAAACTCCGTTAGAACAAATCTTGCTAAGAAAACCTTGTGGAAGGGTCGCCTTAGGTTTGCCTGAAGTCAGCAACAACTTGAAGACACACAACGAAAAGCTTCTTCTTATCAGTGTTCAAATCAGAGCACAAATGTACTGACCCAGAAGGTGTGGTGTAGTGGTTGGAGTGCTTAAAATGTGGGAAGTCCTGTTTGTATCCCCACTGGCCATGAAGCACATTGGATGACCTTGGGCCAGGCACTGTCTCTCAGCCTAACCTACCTTACAGAGCTGTTCTGACAATAGCAATAGCACTTTACATTTCTATACCACTTCATCGTGAACTAAACACTCTCTAAGCGGTTTACAATGTGTAAGCCAATTACTCCCAACAAACTGGGTACTCGTTTTACTGACCTATGAAAGGATGGACAAAAATAGGTATGTCACATTAAGTTTCTTTGACTGATATTAATTTCATAAAGAAAGAACATGAACTTCATGACACGTCACTGGTCATGAAGGTAATGACACTCTTTAACAGTGCAGCAAATTCCAGCTAATTTTTTTTCTCATCTCTGCTTCACACTGTATTCACATCTAAGCTATCAAACTGCCTTCCTTTTTGCCACACCTGCACTATGACAGAAATTGACACCAATCCCACCCAAAAAATAGATTTTAACCGTGAAATTACATTTCCTAATTCACTAACTTCCACTGAGAAAACATAATTTCTCAAGTAAGTAATTCCCCTTTAAAAGGAAAATTGAAACCAAATATTGCAGAAGAGTGTGTTCTGCTGTCAGGATCAGAGTATGGAAAAGTTACTTTTGTGGACTACAGCTCCTAGAATCTCACAGCCAGCACCACTTATTGTAATCAAGATATACTACTTCCCCAGCATTCCCCTGATCTACTAAATGTATAAGATATACTTTTCTCCTGGGCAGGTAAGATCAGTCTGTAATTGAGTGACAAATGGCTCAAACTAAAGAAGCTAGCAAAGGTCAGAAGGGTTAACAAAGGGGTGGAGAAACTCAGTCCCTAGGCTGAATATGACCCTCCTATGTTCCCAGTCCAGCCCTATTTGGGGGCTTATGTCCCCTTCATCATGACACTATCATGTCATGCCAGAAGAGTTTTGACAGCTGAACATGCTGTCCGAATTTAAAAGTGCATTAAAGACCAGTCTCCTCTGGCTGGCTTATCCAGATTAATTTTAAATGTGGCTTATTTTAATATGTGTCCATCTTGTTTCCCCTTTTAAACTGATGTGTGTTTTAACTGATGTATTTGTAACTGATGTTGTTTGTCTGTTAATTGTTGTTTGACACTTCAATCCATGGGGAGGGTAAGAAATAAATATCATCATCATTTGTTCGTTCCTCAACTGTTTGGGGAGGCAGGGTTGTAATTTTTATTTTATTTTATTTATATCCTAGCTTTCTCCCAGCATGAGACTCAAAAACAATCATCTTCAAAAAAAATTCTCCTGTATGGTTTTTAACATCTTGCCTGATGAAGAAGCCAGTAGAGTTTCAAAAGCTTGCAACATGTATATTGTGCATTTTGGGTGGCCCAATAAAAGTGTCACTATTTGGTGGATTTTTGATGTTATTAGATTTGCTATATGGTCATCACAGCTACCCCTAAACACTTTTTAGTTAAAATCTTATTAATGTAAAAGTTTAAAACAATTAAATAAACAATCCTATTAAAAACACAAAGTTAACACACAGTTTAACAACACATTTAAAACGATGATGATGAAGAAGAACAAAGACAAAAGCCAACACACTCCTTTAAAACACCCTTCCACCACAATGAATTAAGAGTCAAAGGTCCATCTCAATTTTTAAAAAAAGTTCTTTGCCTGCAGGTGAAAAGAAAGCAAAGAGGAGGCCAATCCCAGAGAAGTGGTCCCAAAGCCTAGAACTCCATTCTAAAAAGCTGAAATTCTTCTTCTGAGGCTTTGCTACTGCCCATGAAAGATTCAACGTAAAATATTGTATTTCTTGTTCTCACCTTTTGCCTTTGGGCCCACCCATCACTGGAATGCAAGTTCTGAGAACATCTCTAAAATTTGGGTGTGCCCCTCAGTCTCCCTTTATAGTAGCACGTGGTATTTGATATGGGCCCTTTCACACTATAGAATTGTAGCACTCAACGATATAGCTGTGTTAGTCTGTAGAATCGGTATGTAGAGAAAACTTTTACCACCTTTGAGACTAACTGAAAGAAAGAAGTTGGCAGCATGAGCTTTCTTAGACCTATGTCTACTTCTTCAGATGCTTTCTGAAGAAGTAGACTGAAGTCTATGAAAGCTTATGCTGCCAACTTTTTTCTTTCAGATAGTCTCAAAGGTGGTACAAGATCTCTCTACGTATGAACTCTAGCACTGTTATTGCATGTTAACTGCCACAATTCTCCAGAAGTCCTTAGGATGGAACCGTGGCACTTAAAGTGGAATAACATACATCCAACTTTCTGATTTGGCAGCGACGGTCCTGATTAATCCTCTGTCATCCCACTTTTTCAGGTGCATTCAAAATGTCCCAGTTTCTCCTTCCACTTTCCATCTTTGTCTTTGGTTTATATCAGTTGCTGCAAACTGAAGGCCTTTGCAGACTGCTAGAAATAGTGCAAATTGAATCCACTTTAAGGGTTAGGGTTAGGGTTAGGGTTAGGGTTAGGGTTAGGGAATCATGTGAACTGTATTTTATTGTGGCACCAGAGCTCTCTGACAGAGAAGGCTCAATGTCTCAGAAAAAAAACAATTCCCATGATTCCCTAGCACTAACCCTAACCCTTAAAGTGGACTCAATTTGCACTATTTCTGGCACTCTGTGAGTTCCAAGTGCAAAAATAGTGTGCAGTCAGCTCAGAAGAGAGGAGGGAGAGGACAAGAGGGGGCAAAATCTTGCCCTTTCCAGTATGCTCAGGCAAATGCAAACTGCTGCAGCCCTTCTTAGCTTGTCTGTTATTCTTCATTAATACATTTTGTCATCTTGACCACCCTTTGATGGAGCTTGGCCACACATGCCTGGCTTTCATCCAGGGGTAGACAACCTTTCCCCTTTAAGGGCCGAGGGACTTCAGCTCCCAGAAGCCTCAGCCATGTTGGCCAATAGTCCCATGTTGGCCAATAGCTCCTGGGATTCTGGGAGTTGAAATCCCTCGGCCCTTAAAGGGGAAAGGTTGCATACCCCTGCTTTCATCTAAGAAATGTTGGAGGATATGAAATAATAGTGCTATAAGAGCCAGAGTGGTGTAGTGGTTTGAACACTGGACTACGACTCTAGAGAGCAGGATTCAAATCCCTGCTTGGCTACGGATCTCGCTGTCTGCATACCCCAACAACCCATTGGGTGACCTTGAGCAAGTCACACTCTCTCAGCCACAGAGGAAGGCAATGGTAAACCCCCTCTGAAGAAACTCGCCAAGAAATCCCTGTGATAGGGTCACCATAAGTCAGAAACAACTTGAAGGCAAAACAACACACACATAATTGAGCCAGGGTGGCATATTGGGTTGATTGTTGGACTAGGACAACTAAGACCAGGGTTCAAATCCCAGCTTGGGCATGGAAATCCACATGATGACCTTAGGCAAGTCACACCCTCTCAGTAGGGGAAAACAATGGCAAACCTCTTCTGAATAAACCTTGCCACGAAACCTTGCCAAGAAAGCCCATCATCTTAGGGTCCCCATAAATCAAAAACTACTTGAAGGCACACAGCAACAATAAATTGTGCTATAATTGTGAAGGGGCTCCTGGTAACAGTGACACTGAAAGAGCTTCCTTCCAAATTAATATGGCTGTTCAAAGACTGAAAGTGAAATCCACAAGTCCTGCCATATCAAAAGTTTAATATAGTGATTGTCCAGGCTGATCCAATGGGACTGATTTATTATTCCAAAGAGAAAGAAAATCCAATGCATAATGCTTAATTCCCAGTGACAGTTTTGCAGGCCTTGGACAAAAGGTTTCTCTATTATCTCAGTGACTCACTTCCTGTCAATATTTACCGGGTCCTTTTCGATGCATTGCGGAAACGGTTTGTTCACATCAACTGCTGGCTGCCAAAGTTTCTGCCCAGTTCATTATGCTCAGTGGTTTAATTTGAGTCATGAGCATGATTTGGCATTCAGTGTGTCCGATACTGTGTAATGCACGCAAGCCCAGCAAAGTGAATCAGCAATTCTACTTTATAAAATTGCACCCGTCGCCAGCGCTGTTCAGGCTAAGGGACATTATTCATGACTTGTCCCACACCATGTTCATAACCAACCACACTCCTTTTCTTTTAAAAGTATAAAGAGGTTCCACTTCCCAGTGACCAATGATCTTGGACCATTGGTATTTTTCTGTCTGACCAACCTCCAGGAGTACTGTGACAAAGGAAGCAAAACTGCCCCCAAATAAGAATTTTACACCCCCAGTGATTTCCTCCCCCCCCTCCAGTCCCCAAATTCCTAGCAATGCAATAATTTAAAACCCCAGGTAAATTCATTTAAAAATTTAATGTAGGCATTCACAGAAACGATGCAGGCAAAGTTACCCTGGGAATGCAACAGCAAGTATGAGAGTTCTGTGTGTAAATTATTTTCGATGTCTCAGGGCTGCATCTGCACTGCAGAAATAATGCAGTTTTACACCGCTTTAGTTGCCACGGCTCCATACTATGACATCCTGGGATGTGTAGTTTGTTGTGGCACCAGAGCTCTCTGACAGAGAAGACTAAACAGCTCACAAAACTACAAATCCCACAATTCCACAGCATTGACCTACTGCATCATTATTGCAGTTTAGATGCAGCTGCATCCTCTGCAGTGCTAGAAATTTGGGGAGTGCAAGACAATTTAATGGGTGAAGAATTCTTATTTGAGAGCAGGGGGTTAAATTCACTAATTTACTTATTTATTTAGCATAGCAATAGTATTTACAGTTCTATACCACTTAATAGTGAACTCAACACTCTCTAAGTGATTTACAATCTATAAGCCAATTGCTCCCAACAAGCTGGGTACTCCTTTTACCGACCTACGAAAGGATGGAAGGCTGAGTGGACCTGGGAGCCCTTCTCTACAGTCAAACTGGCTGTGGTACCGACATTTAACCACTGTGCCACCAGGGCTCATTTATTATTATTATTATTTATGGGATGTTTTCATTTTTTGTCTTTAGTGGCAAATTCCTTCTGAAGAAACTTGCCAAAAACACCCCATGATAGGGTTGCCATATGTTGGAAACAACTTGAAGGAATGCAACAACAAACAACATATACATTATTAGAGCCAGCATGGCATAGTGGTTTGAGTATTAGACCACGACTCTGGAGACCCTGGGTTTGATTCCCTGCTCAGCCATGAAACCCACTGGGTGCCCATGGACAAGTCACATGCTCTCAGCCTCAGGGGAAGGCAACTGTAAACCTCCTCTGAAGAAATCTTTCCAAGAAAATCCTATGAAAGGTTTGCCTTAGGGTTGCCATAAGTCAGAAACGACTTGAAGGCACATGACATGAACATACTACCTCACAAGGGTATTATGAGTATAATGTGTGTGGAGGAATTTGGAAGAATGGATCTAAATGTGAGTAATAAATAAAAATGAATAACAGTAGATCAGATCCAGCAGCCATCTCCACCAGTTGTACTCATGTACTAATGGCAAGCTTTCCATAGGCAACTGGTTTTCCACTGAATGAAGTGTTAGACTAGATCGGCCTTGCAGAAATCCAGACTGGCCTTGCAGAGCTCTTCTTTTGTTCCTAGACAGGGCATGTAAGCAAGAGCCTAGCCTTCCCCAATCCAGTACCTTCCAGATATGGTAGTCAACAACTCCCCTCACTGCCATTTCAGGAGGATGGAATTTGTAGTCTAACACATCCCAAGGTGCCATGTTGAGGAAATTGCAGTCACTCTCTTCCACTGTTGCTTCCAAGCAAAGGGCACTCAGTGGTGTATTGCCTCTGAATGTGGAGAATTCCTAAGAACAGAAGAACACAACACACCACTATACCATCCCGAATGCAACTGATCTTGTCTGATTTTGGAAGGCACGTACCTTCCGTTGATAGTCTTATCCTTCATGAATCTGTCTAATCCCCTTTTAGAGCCAAACAACATCAGAGTGTGGTGATGGCAAAAGTTATTAATGAGGAATAACATACAAGCTAGGAGAGGCCGCAGCATTTTGCTTTCGACAGTTAGGAGGGAGGTATTATACGTCTTAAATTGACCACCCTTTAACTTCACCAAATGACTTTGTGTGCTAATATCATAAGGGAGATAATATCCCCATCCTCTCTGCAGTTGTCTAATCCCCCTTTAAAGCTGTCTGATCAAGTGGCCAATAGAAAATGCCATACATTGATTATGTGTTGCATGAAGAGGTACTTCCTATACAGAGCCCTGGTTGCGTAGTGGTTAAATACCAGCACTGCAGCCACTCACTCACAAACCACAAGGTTGTGAGTTCAATACCAGACAGGGATCAGGCTCGACTCAGGCTTTCATCCTTCCGAGGTCACTAAAATGAGTACTCAGCTTGTTGGGGCAGTTAGCTTACAGTTGTAAACCGCTTAGAGACTGCATAGCATGGTATGAAGCGGGATATAAATAAAGCTGCTATTGCAGCTGCTATTGCTATTAGTCAGTCCTGAATTTGCTGTCATCATTTGAAAGAAGGGGGAAATGTTTTGTTCACTTTTTCTGTGCCATGCACTTGTCTTTCAAGACATTTCTGGGTCCTCGCCTCCCAATTCCCTAAATTAAAATGCCTCAAATGTTTTGGGCCAAACCAGAAATGTATGGATTTTTTTTTACAAAAGATATGCTTTGTGGTTTGGCTGAGTATAAAGTGTGCAGCAGAGAAAGAGATGTGCTCAGACCAATTGAAAGTGCACTGAAGACTCCTGCAATGCAGCAGGGGATTTTGAAACACAGACTCAGAACTGGAAACTGTGCTGCAAGAAAAGGGCTTTGGGGAAGGACCATAGCTCAGGACAGAGGTAGTCCCAAATTCAGTCTTAAGAGCCTAATTCAATAGCCTACATTGTCTTCTCCCAAAACATTTACACGCAATATGCAGATTACATGACTGTTCATATTGTCACTTCTTCCTTTTAATCCTGCAGCCCATTTACACTACAGAATTGCTAACATTATGTCTGCATCTGCACTGCAGAAATAATTAAGTTTGACACTGTTTCAGCTGCAATGGCTCAATGCGCTGAAATCTTGGGATTTGTTCTTTGTTGTGTCACCAGGGTTGTCTGGCAGAGAAGGTTAAATAGCTCACAAAACTACAAACCCCAGAATTCCATAGCATTGGTCCATGCTAGTTAAAGCCATGTGAAACTGCATTATTTCTTCAGTGCAGATGCGGCCAATTATTCCACTTTTAAATCCACAATGAATCCCATTGTGGGAGAAAGGCAGGATATAAATCTGTGAAATAGATAAATAGATAAATAAATTTATTTAAAAATAATAAATAAATAGATGAAATGGATAAATAGAACTGCTGTGGTTCTGTCCTGTGGAATCCTAGGTTTGTTGTTGTTGTTAACTGCCCTCAAATCAATCTCAACTTATGGTGACCCTATGGATGAGACA